TTCATTTATAATTGATTGATTTATTTATTTTTATTCTTCTCCAAATAGCAAATGCTACCTGTACTCATTGTAATTGTGTTTGAAAAGGAGCCAATAGCGACACGATACATTCGCATTTTGTTGACCACTCTTTTATTATTATTTTTAAAATTAACTAAAAAGTTAACGTTAAAAAAATTAATTTATTTGGTGGAATTCCAATTTTTTGGGATTTTTTAATGACTTTTTAGTATAGTTAAAATATTTTGTTTTGCCATAAATAAATTAATATTTTTTTTAAAACAAATGAATTTTTAAAAGTAAGTGTAAAAATAATTTTAATTTCCGATTACAAATGATGAATTGTACCCATTATTCTACGCAAGCCAAATCAACATTCAATCCACCAATTCATACTTTCTATCATTTTTTCAATATTCTAAGACAAGAGTAAGTGATATATTTATATATATATATATATTATACAGCATCCCATGATTGACTAGGACCATGTAGAGTTTTGGACTTACTGTCTGTAGTGTATTAAAAGCAATTTATAATCTAGTCAATGACCAATATTTTTTTAAAATATAAGATTCATAACTTATAATACAATTACTAACATTTCAAACCAAAGTTTCTTAAGCCCACCCAACCACTATATCATCAATTTTTTAAAACAAGTCTGATGGTGATGGCCACGATAGACTACTATGAACCTTAGTGATTGTCTAAACATATCATTTTAGATCCTTTGAAAAAAACATAAAATTTTAGAGATAGAAAATAGAAAATTCATTATCATAAATAATAGTTGTGGGGACATAATTTTTGAATGACAACACGTAGCCAAGGTGACACCGAAGTGTCAGCCGAGGTGTCACGTGTCCTGGTCATGATGCCGAGATGATCTCGGTTAGGCCGAGGTTATCTGCGAGAAACTGGAATCCGAAATAAGCGGATAAGGGACAAGAGTCCTAGAATGGGAGAAGACTTCAGTTTGGATTAAGATAAAACTCTTAGAGAGTTTATCCTAATTCTACTGGGAGTCCAAGATTAACAGTAATCCTAAGTCCATTAGAGCTAGTCTAGCAGTAATCCTAAGTCCATTAGAGCTAGGCTCTTATTGGGACTAGGATTGAGTTGACTATAAAAGGGAGGCACCCCATGGGTTTAAGGTACGCAATTTATATTCTGTCTAGTGAGTTAAGCACTATTGGTTATCTTTGAGAGATATTGAGTACTGACTTAATCGTCAGAGTGCCCTCAGGTGGACGAGCCACCGCCGGAAATTCTTCTTTCTATTGCAGGTCGTTCGGGCTTAATTTATTCTGCTGGTATTCTCCAGTTGAGTACTAAGTTGACAGTGTGGTTAGAAAATCACTCACACAATAGTTATTTTATAGCTCTCTAATGTCAAAGCATTATTAATGGTGTGGCAAAACAAATCTAAAACCTTTACATGAAATAGACAGAATGAAAGATATCTATTTCATGATCAATAATTGTGAAAGACGAGCCGAGTACTGACTTAATCGTCAGAGTGCCCGCCGGAAGACGAGCCACAGCCGGAAATTCTTCTTTCTATTGCAGGTCGTTCGGGCTTAATTTATTTTGCTGGTATTCTCCAGTTGAGTACTAAGTTGACAGTGTGGTTAGAAAATCACTCACACAATAGTTATTTTATAGCTCTCTAATGTCAAAGCATTATTAATGGTGTGGCAAAACAAATCTAAAACCTTTACATGAAATAGACAGAATGAAAGATATCTATTTCATGATCAATAATTGTGAAAGAGTTACATCAACATATTTTTACTTTAAATTAAAAAAGGGTTAAGAGGGACATTTCAAATTCAATTTTGTTGTAGCAAATTTAAATCAGCAATTTTGAATCTTAATGACATGTTACAAGCTATGCCTTGGAATGGAGATATTCATTTCAACGTAATAAAAAGGTTGATTGAAAAGATGATGTAAAAAAACCCAGCTCAAAGGCTGTTATATTGATTCACCAACGTTGTTTGTGTTTGCCTTCCCACATCGTAGGAACACAAACATGAGCAGAGACAATATGGAAATAAAAGAAGTGGCCCAAGATTTGAAAAAGCATACCTTTCTCGGCCTTTTGGCTAAGATCAAGTGTAGTATCTGTTCTTATCAGTTTAATATCTGATACGTGGGCCATTGGCCCACATGATATTAAATTAATCTTTTAAGGGGGAGGGCCCATCACAGTAGCTTGCTGCTGGGGTTCCTTGAGCGTCGCCTTGGTGTTGCACTACTGCCTTGGCCTGGCGCACCCCACCCAAATCTAGTTCTACATTCGGCCCATTTACATTTAGAGGTTACTACAACGGAGCGAACCCAAGTTGGCTAAAAAAGTATAGATGGCTAAAGGTTTGCATACCATATTGGTTTGCGTATTTTTGTGGTTCACGTGTGGTTAAAGTTAAATAGGAATTTACTTTGTGGTTGAGACATTAGGACAAAAGTTAAATAGGAATTTACTTTGTTGTTAAAGTTAAATAGGACAAAAAATTCATATGAACCAAAATACATTTATTAATTTTCCTTTGTATAATGTTGAGGATTTAGTAATTGAAAAATGCTTGGGAGCACTAATTAGTGCTCCCACTAATTAGGTGACAGTGAGTCCCGCCATTAATGATGTGATGTTTTGGTCTTGGAGTTGTATTTTTTTTTTAATTTTTTAATGCATTAGTGCTATTAGTAGTGATGCTTTTAGTGGGATGAATCATTGTTGTTAGTAATTAGAATTGAAGTGACTATATACATAGGCTATGTTTGGTTTTGTTGGTTTTCAAAAATTAATTTTCCGTGAAGTACGTAGTAAGGAAACAAATTTAATCATAATACTATAAAACTATAACAAACCATTTTTCTTAAATACGATATATAAAAATGGTTCTTGAATCCATCAATGAATTGGGGAATTGAAGTGAGCTTTTAAACTTAAATTCATTCATTTCAAATCTATTAATCCATATACTCCTACAACCTTAGGATTTCTCTACAACCATAGGATTTCTAAAATTGGAACTAAAGTGAAATTCAAAACACAAATAGATTCTTTTTCTTTTTTTTTTCTCCCAGCACAAATCTATTCATTTCAAATCTAGAAATCCAAATGCAAACTCGGGAACAATTCTTTTAAACACAAATTTATTCATTTCAAATACATTAATCCAAATGCAACTTTAAGGTCATGCTCAACTAACCACCAAACCATATATGTGGTGACCTTTCCATTGTTTCTGCGTCATGTCATGCCAAAATTTCACGCTTACTACCCAATAAAGAAAAAAATACTGAAAAAAAAGAAGGAAAGAAGAAGAGGCTTTTCCTCCCAACATAAGAGAAAATTGAAAAAGAAAAATAACCCAAAAAAGTAATTTGAAGAGGATGTGAATATTTCTAGAATTTACTCATCATTCAACAGTGCTATGGGCTTTAGCGGCACTTAAAGAAGAATACAAATTTGTATATGATGGAACAAAATCGGTCTCTAATCCTCTGTATGCCCTCCATTTGATGATGAATAAATGTATTTTCTCTTGTACTTCGAGGTCTTCCTTGAGTTAAGCACTATTGGTTATCTTTGAGAGATATTGAGTATTTCCCTTTGATTCTTTTCGACTATTCTTGTGGTCCCTAGATGGTTTTCTTTTCCAGTCCTCCACGTGTCTATCATGTCTCAGTTACAATTACTACAACCGTATAAGAGGTGCCACGTGGCTAGCAATGTATACATCCTATTAAATATAGTTGGACAAGTACCGTATCTATTTAGAGTGTCACTACCTCAGCTAGGTCTAGGGTAAGTGGCTTTCCCCAGCTCAATTTTGATATTAGAGTTGGCCCATCTTCATCAGGGTCTAGGTCTGCCAAATAGTAGTGTTAGTAATATAATATAATACCTAAATATAGTGCAACTTTCGGTGGATATCATCATAGCATTTTTAGTAATATATAATTGTATATAATTGTAGCATGCTTTCCTTTACCTTTAGCATTTTCGGTGGGCATCCTCCAAGGCATCCGAGGCATCCATTTCTCTCTATAAAAGAGAGTGCCTTCTCTGTGTAATAAATATTCAATACATCAATAATAATACATACAATTTATTCTCTCTGTATTTCTCTCTTTATTCTCTCTTTATACATCAACTCTAATAAGTAGGATCAATATTCGTCTAGGGTCAGCTCAGTTGTATGATCTTGAAGAGTGAGTGGGTAATCGAAGTACATTTGTTTGTTTGCCCCGCTTATTATCTTTATATTAGGTGAGCCTCAGCAGCTCATTTGATTAGGTGCAGCTCATTTGATTAGGTATATCAGTACATCATATCATTTGATAGTTTTCCTAACCAAAGCAAAGGGTTTCTGTAAGTGCTTGCAAAACCTTTCAACTATCTGAAACAAACAATGATTCTCCAATGCTGTTTGTGTTTTGCTTCCCACATCAGAGAACCACAAACATGAGAAGAAAAAAGAAGGCAATAAAACCAGTAGCCCAAGACAGGTAAAAGCATACCTTTCTCGGCCTTTTGGCTAAGATCAAGTGTAGTATCTGTTCTTATCAGTTTAATATCTGATACGTGGGCCATTGGCTCACATGATATTAAATTAATTTTTTAAGGGGAGGGCCCATTACAGTAGCTTGCTGCTGGGGCCTCTTGAGTGTCGCTTTGGTGTTGCACTATTGCCAGGGCCTGGCGCACCCCACCCAAATCTAGTTTAAAATTTGTTGTGTTTTTGGCTCAGCTCAATTTGTGTGCGAAGACACAACGTAGTTCAATTAGAGAATATTAAAATATAAAACTAGAATAGCCTATTTTTCTTGAGGTAATATACTTAGTTTATTTTTTCTTGATTAGGGAAGGTGAGCTTTACACATAAATTCATTCATTTCAAAATCTATAATTGCAAACTAAGATCAAAGCCACTAAACACAAATTCATATCAAAGCCACTAAACACAAATTCATATCAAAGCCACTAAAACACAAATTCATTCATTTAAAATTTATTAATCCAAACGCAAACATTAGAGTCATGCTCAAGTAACCACCAAGCCACAAATGTGGTGACCTTTCCCACTGTTTTGGCAGTCATTGCAAAAATTTCAGGTTTGCTACCCACTAAAAAAAGAAAAGAAAAAAAAAAGGCTTTTCCTTCCAACAGAAAGGAGAAATAGAAATTAACCGAAAAAGAAATTAGAAGAGGATGAGAATATTTCTAGAATTTATTCACATTCAACAGTTCCATGGGCTAAGAATCCCTCCAAGAAGCATATACATATTTGTATCATATCATTTCACAGTTCCCAACCAAAGCAAGGGCTTACCTTCGAATCCCTTCCAACTATCTGGAAAAAGGAAAATTATAGAATGTAATTCTTATATGCCCAAAACAAGAATAGAAATGCCCAAAACAAGAATAGAAATTACAGAAAAACTGGAAGGTTTGAGGAGATCAAAGGGTGAGGTTTGTCTTCAACTTAAGGGGCTGGATATAGGCGACGATAATCAGGTTTCAAGGGGGCTCACACACCTATTTTCTGATTTTTCACTTTAAGTTGAAGATAAAGGTGTCATATATTTCTTTAAAAGGTTGATTTGAATATCGGAAATGTTGAAATGTTCACATTCACCGATGATGAGGGGTGGTTGATCTCGAGAGAGTTGAATAGAAGAGATTGCAAGAAATTGATCTTGAGAAATCGGATAATTTGAATAAGGATCAGATTCATGAACTTCATAAAAAGCAGAAATATGTTCTAAAAACAATAATATGTTAGTGCATAAAACAAAATATCTCTAATGTTGTGTTTTACTTCCCACACCGTAGGAACACAAACACGAGGAGAAAGTAGGTTGAAATAAAAGAAGTGGCCCAAGATTGGTAAAAGCATACCTTTCTCGGCCTTTTGGCTAAGATCAAGTGTAGTATCTGTTCTTATCAGTTTAATATCTGATATGTGGGCCATTGGCTCACTCGATATTAAGTCAATTTTTTCAGGGGGAGGGCCCACCACAGTAGCTTGCTACTGGGCTCTTGAGTGTTGCCTTGGTGTTGCACTATTGCCTTGGCTTGGCGCACCCCACCCAAACCTAGTATTAACTTTTGTGTGTTTTGATTCTGCCCCAAATTTTACAGCCCCAAATTTGGATTTAATTGGGCTTGCACCAGTTGCTTGAACTCTGTTTGTTTAGGAAATTTTATTACTAGTTTTGTTTTTTCCCGTCCTAGAATTGGAGTTATAGTCTACTTTTAAAAACAAATCCATTTGTTTCAGATTTCATTAATACAAATAGCTCAGAAATTAGAAGAGTACTTGAATATTTGTAGTATTTACTCAAAACATTCAACAATGCCATGGGTTAAAGAGGTAGAGAAACATACAGATTTGTATTAAAGCATTTGACAGTTCCAACCAAAGTGAGGGCTTCTGTAAGTGCCTCCAGAAGATGCTCCGGATAGTGCTTGATACAAGCAAGTCCGTGCTTGGATTGCATAGAATTCAAAACCTTTCCAACTATCTGGAAAAGAAAAAACAACAGAAAATTCTAGTATGTAATTCTAGATCTTATACATGGTAAAAAAAAAGAAAAATAGAAAAAAAGAAAGAAAGAAAAGGTTGTTGGCTAAATCCAATTATATTCAACCCAATGAACGGAGAAAAACAGTACTAACCTTCCTTGCATACCCACCATAGGCTACTCCACCAATTAAAGCGAGTGGCGAACTATGTGAACCCACCATGCTCATTTCATCTTTTGAGTTCACTAGAAAAAAAAAAAGGTTAGTTGATATAGCAGAAGGTACTAACACAAGGCAGCACGCAAACACGAAAGCAAAAGAGGTTAATGATTATACTAGATAAGGTTGTTGCTTGGAAGAGCCCCACCCTTTTTAACCCATCAACTGTGTGAGCATTGGTACCACCAGCCAACTGAAGAAAACCTACCAAATGAAAAAGAACTTTTAGTTTGTGGCAAAAAACTTCGCACATTCTTAACAATACCACTCTGTATACAAACCAGGAGGCCTATCTTTATCAGCAGCTATATGAACAGCAAAAGCAATTGCTTCCCTTGTGGCGCCTCGGCCAATATCTCCACTCATGGGCCGACCATCCAGCTTTGGTTAAAAGGAACATCATTTGTACAATTTGTTAGAAACTAAGATGGTTTATGATGTTTTCCCTTTGAAATTCAAGAAGATAGTATCGGTTAAACAATATAAGGGACACACCTGCCATAAATTGAAGCAACGTAAATTGGGCTGCATAAGGGAGTACATCATGTTCATTGAAGATATGGTTGAATCTCCAATGTGAGGCAAGCTAATCTAAATAGGTTAAAAATCAGTATATGCCTCCTGTAAAATTTCAGGACAATATCTTAACTAGCACACATTTTGATGACTACTGATAACTAGACAATGAAATATCTGGTTATTCAAACAACAAGGACAAGACAATTTACTTACTGCTACAAGTCTTAAATATCCCAGTGAATCTCCCAAACCATTCCAAAGTTCTTCAAACAGCAGAGTCTGCCTATGAACAAACATGGCCGCAGTTGAAAATTTAGGGATGATATGAATGAAACTCTAATTAAATAGGGTCACATTTGGATGCCCAATGAAATCATCCTGACATGTCATAAAGTATGCTGTGGCAGTTATTAGGTTGTTTTTTTTTGGTGGGCCATTCAAACGATTTATTACTTCACACTTTCTGACTTTTACTTGTGGCAACGTTCCCATTTTTACTAACAGCTTTATTCTATAGAATACATTTGTGCCCGGATACTATCAAAAAAAGATACAACATGTGTGAGAAAGATAATATCATTGAGAGTCATTGGGCTACCTTCCATTTGTATGTATCTCCACCGCATCAACATCTTCTCTTCTAAGAAGCTCAGCTGTAGCAGAAGCATCTCTTACATATGTAATTGCTCCTAGATCAATTAAACCCAGTTTGATTATTTAAAGAACAACTAGAATGAAAGAATCCAACAGAATTTGAAGTGGGAAATATACACATGAACGGAAAGTCCACCGTGGTTAAGGGGAAAAAAGCCAAATTAGAAAAGAAAAAAGCACAGAGGAAGTATTTACTTATTTTATCATATGGACAAACTGGAAAGCAGCGGCCACAGCCATAGCAGCGTTCAGTTATCACTCCACCCTGCATATTAATGTGGACTACAAGTATTGAAATGCGGACATTAATGAATGATGGAGGCCTATACTTGGAAGCTTAATAATTAGTGTGCAAAAGAAGTACCTTGAGTGCACTAGGTGTGCCCACCAGTGATATTGCATTAGCTGGACAGACAATCTCACAGGGTCTGGAACAATCCAGTGGACAATCATTTGGATCAAATTCTGTGAAGATGGCAATAAGCTGGCTCAGGATGAAAAGGCAACAAGTCACGGATCAAATGAAGATGACCACTGAATGCATTTGGACTTTAAAAGACAATCCGGTAAATCACTTCCATTAAGGATGTTATGAGGAATGGAAGTATGCATTACTATAACTAGCATAACATTTGAGAAACTATTTGTTCTAATATATGGTATAAATTCTAGGATTTTTAGTTATGAAATAATATACATTTCCCACCATGAAATATGTCAATCATCTCATATTTTGCAATGAATTTATATATGCAATGTTGCGACACCATATTAAAGAATGGACTAAAAGGTAAACATACAACAAAGCTAGAAATTGCTGGATGCACAATTTACATAGCCGTGACAGCGAAAATCCGAATTATTTCAAAGCTCACAAACCCGGGTTTTACTCCAAACAGCTACTTAATTTAACATAACTGATCACATTGAATCAGATAGAAATATGTACTCAATTAATGTTGATCAAGCAATAGCTTCATGGGAACATCAATAAATAATATTACATAAAATAATAAAGAAGATTCATTTTTTACCGGCTTTACGAAAGTGAAGATCTTCGTCGTCATTAACACTGATCATTACCCACGGCCTCCGAAGGGGTACAATCTCTCTGGCTGCTTCAATTCCCTCGTTCACCGCGCTCACCACTGCCGCATCAGCCGCACAATCAATACAATCAACTGCACTTAACTTCAATTTGTTAGCCAAAACACTAAATTCCACATTGGTACATATAATAACATTCTTAAAACTGTAGCTTTTCAAAAATTTCACCTCCAGCGAGAGTGTAAACCAGAGAAAGATTCCTGACATCAACAACATCCTAGAGAGAGACAGAGAGATTGAAGTGCTCAATTTGAGAGTAATTAAGGATGTGAAAATTGAAGGGTTTTTAAGGTCATGGGTAGTGAGGGTTTTGAGAAACCTCGAAGCTAGCACCACAAATGAGCTTGACCCAGTTGCCTCTTTGAAGGGAATCGTGAGGTGAGCTTGTGATTGAAGGAACCCCAACTGAATTGATGAGGTCTTTCACTCTCTGAAGGCATTTCTTCTTGTTGTTGCTGCTGATTTTTGTCTGGCCTGGATGGCAAACAGAGAAATATTATGTGTGTATGTAGAGAGCGAGAGAGAGAGAGAGAGAGAGAGAACAAGAAGAGACCTTGTGGTTGAGATTTGAGCGAAGCATAGCAAGAGAAGCTCAGAGCCATCCCAGAACGGGAAGAGGAGTGTAAAGAATATCCGCTAAGACGCTTACTAACAACTTCACTATTTCGCGGTTAGGAAGAAGAACTAACCAGGTTTTTATTTTTATCCTTAGTTTTTTTTTTATCATATATTACTGGACAAATTGTAATTTAATGGAGAGAACGAACACAAATCGTTAAAGGAGATGAAAATTTTAGGGCAAATTACAAATACCTCTCCCTCGAGGTTTCGCTAAATTACGGATATTTTTTAAGATTTTGAAAATTATAGATACTTTCTGAAATTTATATATTCATAACAACTTGTCTCCTAAGATTTATATTTTCATAACAAATTGTCCCCTAATTTGTTATGCAAATATAACTTTAGGGATATCTGTAATTTCTCAAACCTTAAGAAAATATCTATAATTTTGCTAAATCTCAAGGGGATGTATGTAATTTGTCCAAAATTTTAAAAATAATTCCACATGGTATAATATTTTTTTGGAGATCAATCTTAAAAGAGTAATTATAAATATAAAAAAATATTTAAATTATCAAATAAATTACTAAAATTCACAATAATTAAAATTTTAATGAACAGTAGACTGACTTTAATTAAATATAAAATTATTATTTTTTAAAAATTATTATAATATAACTCATAATGAACCCATCTTATTGTCCTATTCAATACACCATTGACTTTCTTTTTTTGAAAATATTGAAAATATATATATTAAAAATGAGTCCCGTTACGTAGCTCGAAAGATTAGCGGCTCGAGTGGCCCAAAATACCAAAATGATGTCATTTTGCCTTCTTTTTTTTTTCCCCTTTTCTTCTTTGTTTCCATAACCTATAGAAGAAGAACAAAGAAGAAAAAAGAAGAGGAGAGGAGAGGAGCAACAAGAGAGAATCATCATTATCAATCAAAAATCAACAAATCATCATCAACACAAACACACACACACACACACACAGAATCATCATTAACCAAAAAGGTATAAACCTTTGTCTTCAACAGGTATATATGTATGTATTTGTATATGTATATGTATATGTACATGCATCAATTATATCATGGAAGTTCGAATTTTTGTTTGATTTTGTCTGATTTTGGTTTCAATTTCGATTTTGATTTGTGATTGTGGGTTTGGTTTTGGTTTTGGTTTTGGTGTAAAATTTCCATTTCTCTCTCTATGTTGTTTTTTTGTTTTGCCTCATTCAACAATCTAGAAAGAAGAAGAAAAAGAAGGAAAAAAACAAAGGAAGGAAAAAGAGGAAGCAGAGAGAAAAGAATGAAGGAAAAAAAAAAATAGGTGCCAAAATCTGCTCCAACTTCTCCACCCAACACAGAGAAGAAAGAGATGAGCGAGTTCCGAGATGAGAGAATGTTGGCTCTGAGAAAGAGAAAAAGAAAGAGAGAGAGATACAAAATAAGGGGGAAAGAGAGAGTGGGTCATGGAGAGAGAGAGAGAGAATTATAATTTTCGAGCCATTCGGGGCGGAGAATTTCGAGCTACGAAGCATTAGTGATTAAAAATAACAACAAAAAACTATACAAGTCATATAACAAAAGAAAAAAAAAACAAACAAACAAAAAAATAATAATAAATTCATCAAAAAAATCAATTACAAACCAAAGAAAACCATCAATGTTCTTAAAAATGAATACACAAATGACATTAGTTAAAGAGAAAATTATTCTTTTTTTTCTTTAAATTATTAAAGTAGGATTCATCATGAACTCATCCTATTGTACTGTTTAATACACAAATTGGAATGAATCTAGACTTAATGCATTAAATCACAACACAATGTGTCCTAAGCTTAAATGAATCAATCGATGCTTAGAGAAGGTATTCTGGTTTTTCTATAAGGAGAATTCTACTCCCTTTATTATGTAATTTTTTTTAATTATAATATTATTTTGAGATATTTGATTATAATATTTTTGTGTTTGATTATGATTTTTTTTCAGTTATTGAGAAGGGGATTCCTTAATTCGACTTTGGACCGAGCTCGTTTGGGTTGGGCTGAGTGGGCCAAGCTTGTTGGGCTGAGCTAAGTCCGTGCGACCAGCAGACACTAGGGGTGGGCAACGGTTTATCCGAACCGCTCAAACCGCCCAATCCGCCCAACCCGCATATAAATGGGCGGTTTCGCAAACATAATGCGGGCGGATGCGGTTTGAAATATGACAAATTTGCGGGTTGCGGGCGGGTCGCGTTTTAAACCCGCAATCCGCAAAAACCGTCCGCACTTTAATTATTATTATTATTATTATTTTTTATATTCCAACTTTGTAACTTTTACAGGAGCACCATTATATTCTCTATGACACTAGGATCCTTATTTTTAAGTATTTCTCAACTTTCTTAATGCCGTAGAATTATCAAGTCCTAAACTTGGTTTCTTATATGATTTTCATTGGTGATTCATCCACTTTTCCTAATAAAATTTTCCTTCTAATGATCGATAGAACTTATAGTTTGATTATTAATTACTGAACTGGCAATTCTAATTGAATACAACCTTTAATGCATTGATATACATTTTTTTTCATGGCAAAAATGCTAGTGTAGGGTCTCTTTGTTCTGGGTACTTTCATTTAATGCATTGATATTCAATTTTTATTTGTAAACTCATCAAAAAATTGTTATCACAAATATATAAAATGAATCTGATGCCTAAATTCGCTGGGAAAAAAAAACTCGAAAATTAATTTTTAAAGAAAAAAGTGTAAACCGCAAACCGCCTGCAACCGCCCGCACATTTGCAAACCCTATCCGCACAAACCGCAAACCGCACTGCGGGCGGTTGTGGGTTGACTTTTTCCCAAACCGCATAGATGCGGGCGGGTCAAAACCGAACCGCAAACCGCACAAAACCGATCCGCGAACACCCCTAGCAGACACCTTGGGTTAAGGAGCCCGGTCCGGTTGAGCCGGAGTAACTTTAGTCCTCTAGCCCGGTGGGATAGTGCACATTAGTGAGTTTGGACTTCCAAGTTTGGGCCGACCGGGCAGGAGAGCTGTCGAAATTTAGGAGCTCGGTGGAGGCACTACGCGGTGCGAAGTAATCAAGGAAACCGGTCAAGAGGAAAGGCTGCGTCGGCGGGACGTCGCACCACGCTAATAGTAGCCTGATTGGGAGTGCGGCACGGTTGTATGGCATCGCGGAATGAAGGTTCCGCAGATCGTACAGTAATTCAGTTTGGCGGTTTTTGTTAGGTGGCGTTTCGCTATTTTAGCGCTGACACGTGGGAAAATGTGAGAAGGGAGCAGGTCTACACGTCTCGAGAGGAATGGGCATGAAAGCGCGCGCAATAACCATATAAATAAGATTGCAACTCCATACAGAAGAAGGAGGTGAAAAAATTGAACTACCACATTGTAACTTTTCTCTTCTCTCTCTCTCTCCCCAAAAGTGTGCTAACTTGATCGTTGAAGGAGTTTTCCGGCAACGCACCACTGGGTAGCTCACCGTCGTTGTGTTCGCAGGTTAATCGGAACGGAGCGGAGCTTGGACGCGAGGAGTACGGGTGGTATCGGATATTTGCACCCCATATAATTGGCGCTGTATGTGGAAAAATCGAAACAGACACAACCTTGTCCTCCAAGCTCATCGGATCACCTTTCATGGCAAACAACGATGAAGTACCATTGTCTGCCATCGAGAGCATTACCCCAAAGTCAGTCCGACGGAGAGACACACTTCCCGCCGTTCCGAACATGGCGCGCCTGGAGGCCTCACCAGGGGGACTCCTTAGAGATGCACGATATAAGTGTGCCAGGAGCACTGATCACTCGTGGAGTCCAGACTGGCACTGGCGGCGAAGAGAGTCACACGCTCAACACCTGGAGCACAAGTTGAGGGACCAAGACGCTACCATCCGGAGAATGGCAGCGGAAATGGAAGCTCTCAAGCGGCAAGTCAAAGGGAAGGGTGTTGCTGGAGTGGGTGACCACAGTGAGCGCACCCAACCCCGCCGCTCAGGTAGCCAGAACCAGCGACACACGTCCTCTCTTTCTATCACCAGAAGCTATGGGGTTGGAGACTCTAACCCGCTTGTAGAGAAGTCTTGCACGCAAGATAGTAGTTACCATCCCTCACGTCCGCCCACGACATCGAGATGTTCCTACTCCGCTCTTTCGGAGGACTTGAGGGACGTCTTGAAGGAACGAGCGCGCCGACAGGAGGCTCAAAGGGTGCCGACGCTCTAGCGGTTATCCTACGGAGGTCGCACCAGTGAAGAAGTCGTAATGCCGCTACCCCGCTCAGTCGTGCCTGTCCCTTTGGACAAAGATTTGGCAAAGCTGAGCGCTAACCCCTTATCTCTTAAGATAGAGACCACACTTGTAATAATCCACATTCATGTCTTAGTCATGTTCATGTGCATTTGCATGATTTGTCTTGTTAAACTTGCATTTCTAGACTTAGACTTGTTTTGCCTAGGTAAAGGTTCTTGTTTTGTCTTGATGCTATCATGTTTTGCCTAAGTGTTATGTGCATGCTTTGTTCCTTCCTTGATGTCTCAAGCTTAGGTCATGCCAAGCTTAGGTCATGTAAAGCCTAGGTTATGCCAAGCCTAGGTCATGTTAAGCCTGGGTCACACCTTTGAACCTCTTACACCTAGAACCATCTTGGAACCACTTTTGGTTGACCTCCACCTTCACCCTGGCATATTGGCCGAGATGTCATCATTTAGGCCGAGGTGTGCATCACCTAGGCCGAGATGTTATCATCTAGGCGTCCTAGATCTTTGATCCTTGCACCTAGTGATCTTGTTCCGGGACTGGTATGACCTAGACCGAGGTGTGGCACATCTAAGCCGAGGTGTGGCACAGCTAGGCCAAGTGTTATCCTTCCTAGCCGAGATCATTGAAACCTTCTTGCCAAAGCCTATGTCCTAATCCGAGATCATTGCCTTGTCTGAGTACCCATGCCACCTTGCTTGTTATACACACTTTGTCATACTCTTGTCTTGTCATTCTGGCATCTTTTTTAGAAAATCCAACCAGACGTTGCCACGTGTCCCAGCAGAGGGTTAAGTCTGCCGGCAGTAGAGAAACCCACATCATTTTGTCATATCTTTGCCTTTTTAGAAAGAGAAGCTCTAAGAAGAAG